CACTTGAGCCACAGCACCACTTCCGGCTTTTTTCTTTTTGCTTATGTGGTGCTGAGGAATTGAACCCAGGGCCTCAGGCGTGCAAGGCAAGCACTCTACCACTGAGCCACCTTCCCAGCCCCTTCTCAAGGCCTTTTATCTCTTCTACCCCATTGTAATCCTTCTTACCAGTTACCTGAGCTATACATTACCTAGCTGCATACACTCCAGTCCTGCTCAAAATCTTTTGATGCTCCTTATAGGCAGTGGGACAAATGTAAACACTTGTGTATGGCATGTCCATTCTAGCTAATACAGCTACCCTGAGTCCTGGAACCCTCTTCCAGGAGCTTTGTGCTCCAGCCATACAAGAACTCATTTTCTAAATTCATTATGTCCCACCCTCTCCTTGCCTTGAACATACTGCCAGTCTGTTTCCAGTGCCCACCCTGCCTGTCTGAGAGACTCCAGTCATTTCTCCAAGCTAAGCTCAAAGATTTTGTGGATTTCTCTCTGAGGCCTTCCCTTACTCCTAGCCTGTCTTACAAATGCCACCCACATGGAAGGGATAATCATTATTAATAATTAAGAAGCTAGTCTGATTTAGCTTTCAGTTAGAGACATGAAATCTTTTCATTATGGCCTGGGTGGATATAGACATTTAGATCTTAACCTCTCATCCACCTTCTTGAAGACTAGCACATTATCACAATGCCCAGATTTCAAGCTTCAGCATTTCATGTATGGCTCTGGCCAGTCCTCTCTCTAACCTTCAGTTCCATCCTCTGCAGGTGCCCTAAGATCCTCTTCTTTTGTTCTCCATCCATCCTTATGTTGTGTGCTAAACTATTAGCACTATGCGGGATGTTGTCAGGTTGGGTGGGTCAGACTTTCTGGGAGTCTACCTCACTCCTGAGCTGCCCTCCCTGCTCTACACTGGACCATGTAGTTCTGACCTCATGCTGTTTCTTCTGCCCTGATCATCTTTCTTCTGGGGGCCCAGTTCTCTTTGGTTCTCTCAGAAGTTCACTTCCTCTGTAAACACCTCTCTATGCTAACCACCACTGGTAGAAGGAGCCCCTCCCTCCTGCATGGGCTTCCCTTGTTCTGAGGCCTCATGGATCATTCTATAAATTTCTTGGCCACTTATGTGCCTGTCTTGTGGGACAGGCTCAATTGAGGGGCTCCTTGTAGAAGAGACAGCCTCTTGTTCATGTGACCAGTGTGGTGCCTGGCACCAAGGAGGCTCAACACCCTTGCCAGCTACCCTGAATGCTCACCCCATGTCCATTTGGTTGCCTCCATCCCTCCCAGTACCTTGTATTATCTGGCTCTAACATCTCTGGCTTTTCAGAGTACTTTCCTCTTTATTTCCTCCCTTTTCTTTTGCCACACTGGGGGTTGAACCCAATGCCTCATGTACTTTTGTTGTTGGTGGTGGTGGTTGTGGGGCTTGAACTCTGGGCCTGGGTGCTGTTCCTGAGCTCTTCAGCTCAAGGCAAGCACTCTACCACTTGAGCCACAGCACCACTTCCAGTTTTCTGGTGGTTAATTGGAGAGAAGAGTCTCATAGACTTTCCTGCTTGGGCTGGCTTTGAACTGTGATTCTCAGATCTCAGCCTCCTGAGTAGTTAGGATTACAAGCATGAGCCACCAGCACCTGATGACTCATGTACTTTCTTGAGCATCAATCTATGGCCCAATAGGGCAAGCAAGGAGACATGGTTGCACCCATTTTAGAGATGAAGGTGCTGGGGCTAAACATAAGCAGTGACTTCTAGGGGCTTTAATAGGAAGCAGGAAAACAAACAGAAATGTGGGGCCTGGTCTTGGTTCCTTATACCCTTCTCCATATCACCAGCAGGTCAAGAAAAGCAGGAGGAGATTGAGCAAGTGCCTGTAGTATTCCTCACTGCCCACTGCTTCCTGGGCAGGAGTGGGAGCAGTGCTGAACAGCATTGACAGAAGGGGGAGATTCTGGGGGACGGGGCTCTAAGAAATGTGGAGGCAGCAAGAGAACCCACATATTCAGGACAGAAGTGGCTCTGTGGAGATGCCTGTGGAGCTCAATGGATAGGGGAAATACACCTCCTTGTTGTCCTCCCCTGGATAGCCAAAACATCCAGCTCTGTCTCCAGACCCTAAACCTAACCCCTGACCCAGCAGGATCAGTGATATAGGCGAAAGGCAATGGCTCCCTATAAGGGAGTTTGGTAGGACCACCTCTTCTCTGGTTGGCAGGTAAGAATGACATCTTTGGAGAACCCGTTAGCCTCCACGCCCGGCCAGGCAAGTCCAGTGCTGATGTGAGAGCCCTGACCTACTGTGACCTACACAAGATCCAGCGGGCAGACCTGCTGGAGGTACTGGACATGTATCCTGCCTTTGCAGACAGCTTCTGGAGTAAGCTAGAGGTCACCTTCAACCTGCGGGACGTGAGTCTGGGCCTATGGACTGAGGTGGGGGGAAGGCTCTAGACAGCTAGTGATGGATGATACCCAGACAGCCAGCTAAGGGCTTGGCCTGCTTAGCCTAAGGACTCATTTGACTACTGCCCTTCCTTTCAACCCATCCCACATCCTTTGTCAGGATTTCTGTGCCTACCATGGCCAACATAACACTGCTACAACAATGGCTGCCATTTATTGAGCAGTCACTATGTGCTGCCTACCAAGCATTTTTACATTATCTTCTTTAGTTTTGTCCTTGCATATAGTATTAGTATCTCTATGTATAAGATGAGGAAACTGAGGGTTACAGTGGACAAATAAATGTTGGCCAAAGCCATACAGCTAGTAAATGTCAGAGCCAAAATATGAGTTCAAACCCATCCAATTCCAAAGCTTAAACTTTCTTATCACTTTGCACCAAACTGAAAAGGAAGATGTCTGCATAATAAAGACTCGTGGAGTCTGGCATTGGAGGGTGAAGAAGAGACAAAATGCACTCTCCTCTCAAGCGTATCACTCAGTGGAGAGAATCACAGCACCTCAGGAGAAATAAAAAGCCACTCACTTAAATAAACAAAGGACTCACAAGAGTGTACAAGAGAAACCCAATTTCTGAATAGCTCTATCTTGGGCAGGGGCTCCAAGGATGTCCAGAGGGATTGTAAGAGTCTACAGTCAGCTGATGGAGAGAAGGAAGAGGATTGCCTATCAGGAGTAGAGTGGCTAAGGCCAGGCACTGAGCCTTGGCCCTGCCTTTCCCCGTTGCCTCTTCTCCTCAGCCTCAGAAGGAGGATTCTGGTGGCCCAGACTAGTGACCAGTTTCTGGAGAGTAGATTTCCTTGCTGTGATGACCCTTTCCACATTGTCCCCTCTTCTGCTCTTCCCTCCCCACCCAACTTCACAGAAGACATCCAATAAGCACTCTGCTTTGTTGGCTTAGCTACTGGGAGCTATCAGATGGCCCAAGAGCTCAGTGGTTGGACATCAGGGCAGGAAGGATGTGGTTTCCATGGCCTGGGTTAACTGTAACCTAAGGTGCCCTTCAAATCTCATGGTGCGCTGTGGGGACCAGGGGGAAGGGAAAACAGCCAAGGATACAGCTGAGAGCATCATGGGAGTGGATTGGAGATTTCAGACCCAGTATCCTCAGAGGAGACTTCCCTCTGGCCCAGCACTAAAACATTTGCAAAAGAAGGTGCTGGAAGAGCAGCTCTTCTGTCACTTTACCCACAAATCTTACTGCTCACAGCACCTCTCCGAATACCTTGATGGAGGTCTCCACACAGTCACACAGTGCAAGACTTTGGTTTCTAAACCTCTTCCATTGCCAGACCCCCTCTTAGGGGACAACCTGCAGGAAGCTGTCCAGAATTTCATTGGTGTGGCCAGCTACCTATTATTACTTGTTGTCACAAGGGCCACAGGGCAGGAGTGGGGACAGGGAGGAACAAAGAGGCCCTGTCCCAGCTTTGGTCCTTGTTACTAATCTTGTTCCCCACAAGGCAGATGGGGGTCTCCAGTCATCACCCCGACAGGTCCCAGGGAATCAAGACCATCAAGGCTTCTTCCTCAATGATACCCAATCAGGTGAGCACAACTAGCCCCTGCCCAGAACTCCTGTCCCTCTGAGTTCTCTCCATGTTGCCTCCCATTTCGAGAGACCTTTCCAGTCCCTCCATGGCCAGGGAGAATCCAGTCCATTGTCCCCCTTCTGTGACCTAATGATCTGTGTCCTCTGAGCCACAAAGAGATGATTTGCTGGTTCTCAGGTGCTACTCCTAGGGGTGGGAACTGGCCAGACCCATGAGGTTCCAAAGCAAGGCACCTGGAGACCCGTCAGGTTTCAGATCTCTGGGCAATAAATCCATGCTTAGAACTTTCTAGCCCCCAAAACTTCCCCTGAAAGATACAGCCCCAAATTCTGAAACAGGGCTACCATTTTTCTGACTCCTGAAAAGCCAGACCATCACAGGGGCAGGAACTTTTGCTCCAGGGGTCCCAGATAAGGAAAGCCATTTCTTCACATTGTGTTCATAAGGCAGGAAGGGAGAGAGAGCACAGGGTGTAGACCTAGCTAGATGGAGCAGAGGTGTACCCTTCCCTCTGCAGGTGCAGCTCCTTCCTTGAGTATTTCAGATGCATCTGGCCTCTGGCCTGAATTGCTGCAACAAATACCCCCAAGCCCTCCAAACTTGCAGCGGGACCCAGACTGCTGGCCTCGGGAACTAGGCTCCAGGATAGAGCAGCTCCAGGCCCAGATGAACAGGTGGGTAACTCCCCTCTCCCCTTGGATCAACCTAGCAGCAGGCTAGATGTGGGTGCCCCTCTTGATAGTTCAGGGGCACCCCTGGGTGCTGAGTGAATATTTGAGGGGAAGGACCATTTAGCATGTGTTTCCCTTATGTATGTCAATAAAGGTAATTCCTTGGATGGCTTCCCCCAGAAAGGTCTAAAAGGTGCCAAAGAAGTCTCCCTCCCCCCGCAATCCTTGAACTCTAGCCCTGGGCACTGTCCCTGAACTTTTGTGCTCAAGGCTAGCGCTCTACCACTTAAGCCACAGCTTCACTTCTGGCTTCTTGTGGTTAATTGGAAAGAAGAGTTTCACCGACTTTCCTGCCTAAGCTAGCTTCAATTTGTGATCCTCAGATATTAGCCTCCTGAGTAGCTAGAACCAAGGAAGCTTCTTGGGGAAGGGACACATCCATATGTAGAAACAAAATTCATGGAGCTTTGGAAAGGGGGTGTGCCCGGACTGTGGAGGCAGAGTGAGAGGTTGTGAGCAGGACAGTCCTAGGACAGCTAGGACATGGGCAAGCTACTTAACAGCTCTGAGCTTCAGTTTGCTATTTCATGAAATGGGCACAGTTGGCCTGGTCACTGTCATCAGAGTTAGGAATGTGCTAAGGGGGGAATTTGGACAGGTTACCAAGTTGAGAGCTGCCCTCAAAACCTGAGCTGCTTTTAGAACCCTAATTATGACCATGGCGGGGGACTGGGGGGCTTCTGTCTGGCAGGCTGGAGTCCCGCATGTCCTCAGATCTCAGCCGCATCCTGCAGCTGCTTCAGCAGCCCATGTCAAAGGGCCATACCAGCTATGTCCTGAGAGCCCCTGCCTCCAGTGACATGGTCTTGTTTCCTAAAGCTTCTGCAACTCAGAGTCCAGGGCCTGGGTGGCCTTCAGACCATCTGCCTCTTGTACAGGTGAGAGGTGAGAGGGTGCTCAGGGCCTTCCCTAGGAGCAGCTGCTTTATTCCCTTCTCCGGGCTCCCATCCCCACTGCTGTAATTTCGTCTCAATGAGACTCAGAGCCTCTGTGGCTATTTTGCTTCTGCTGTTCTCCTTTATGGTCTGAGTCAGGATGTTAGGGTAGCCTAGTGGCAGAGCTCTGATTTGCATGACAGATCTCACAGCTGGATGAAGGGCAACAGGCCTTGAGGTGTGGGAAGAGTAAGCCGAGCTCTTGGCTGTTTCCTCCCTGTGGTTGGGGTAGTTTAACTCCTAACCTGGCCTGGGGACTCTTCACACAATGGTGCCTCCTTCTTCTTACCTCTCCCAGACCAGAAGCTATGGTGATTTGGACAAATGGAGGCTGAAGCACAGAAATTCCTCCCCTGGTACACCTCATCTGGCTGTAGCAAAGGACAAAACTCTGACCTCATCCTCAGATCAGGAGCTGCCTGAGGAGATTTTGTCACCCCTGGCCCCACCCCTGTGTTCCCCAGAAGTACAAGGATTCATCTATGGTCCCCGCTTTCCTTCCCTCCCTGAACATCTTGGCTCTGTTCCTAAACAGTTGGAGTTCCAGAGACATGGCTCAGATCCTGGCTTCACTAGGAGTTAGGGCTACCGGACCCCAAGATAAAAGCTATTAGAAGTAATGATCGTGAGAGAGGCAGCTCCCAAAATGGGTTTCCAAAACACATTTTTCCTAGAGTAATTACAGAGCCAGGTGACCCAGAATAGCTCAAGTGAAGAAGCACAGCACCTTGCCCAGCTTTTTCTGGGTTCCTTGTAGACAAGCCTGGCTGAGAGTCAGAGAGCTGAGGATGGAGAGGCGAATGAAGAAAGAAGAGGCTTTCTGTCTTCCTTATGAGAGTTGTTCAGGGCAGGGGACTCCTAGCTCTGAACCAGCCACTGTCTCAATACCCAATGTGAAGTCCCAGGGTTGGCTAGATCTTTCTCCACCAACCACAACTTGATGGTAGGTGTCCATGGTGGACAAGGGAGGACGCAGTTTCAGCCCTTAGCCCCCTCCACCCCTGGTAGTTCCATGACAATTTCTGGGTATCTTGAGGGCAGTGACACAGCTAATAAAGTCTGGATATTTCACATTGGGCTGGCTGTGAGACTTTTCTGATGGTTGTTGGATCCATGAGTATGCTGTAGCCGTCTACAAGCACCTCTTGCTAAAAGCTGGGTATGGCTGTCCCCTTTACCATACACAGCCTGTTGGGAGCTCCCCTAGGATACTAGGCAGGCTAGGGTAAAGGAAAGCAGAGATGATGGACAAAAGTTGACAATTACACAGGATCCTGTGAGGCACCATCCTGACTGCTTTGCAGTGATTCCAAGGGGTTCAGCATTATTATCCACCTGTTAGAGATGTGGGATCAGTATCAGAGAAAGAACTTTCCAAGTGGCGCTGTAGCTCAAGCGGTAGAGTGCTTGCCTTGAGCTGAAGAGCGGAGGGACAGCGCCCAAGCCCAGAGTTCAAGCCCCATAACCGACCCAAAAAAAAAAAAAACCTTTCCAGCGCATGAAGGGTCTTGTAGGGATTCTGGTGTTCTGTTATCTTGATAGGGTATTGGGTATGTGTGTGTTCAGTTTGTGAAAATGTGGACTTCCATGTGAAAATTATACTTCAATTAAAACACACACACACACACACACACACATACACACACATACATGCACGCACGCACACAATGGGAAAAGAACATAAGTTCAACCTAGCCTGTGTAACTAGAAAACATGTACACAGTTAATCGTTGACTAGAAAAGGCTGTTTGCCCAAAAGCACCCTGTCACGGATCTTCTTTTTATTTTTTTGCTCCAAAATTTCCTAAAATAATTTTTTGGAAACATGCATCTATCCCTCTCACATTTTTAAGCTGACATTTTAAATATTTCATTCATAACTTTAAATAGTTGTCAAGTTCCAGCTACTTGGGAGAAGGATAGAGGCTGGAGGCAGTTAGTAAGATCCTCTCTCAATCAATAAGCCAAGCATGGAGATGTGTGTCTGCCATGCCAGCCATGCAAGATGCCGTAAATAGGAGCATTGCAGTCTGAGGTAGATCAGAGCAAAAACAGGAGAAATAAACCAAAAAAGAGGGTAGTATGGCACAAATGGAAGAGAAGACTACCTGCTTATCAAGCTTAAAAAAAGTTGCAAAGAGGGGCTGGGAAGGTGGCTCAGTAAAGCCGGAAGTGGTGCTGTGGCTCAAGTGGTAGAGTGCTAGCCTTGAGCTGAAGAGCTGAGGGACAGTGCCCAGGCCCAGAGTTCAGGCCCCATAACCGGCAAAAAAAAAAAAAAAAAGCCAGCCCAGGCAGGAAAGTCCATGAGACTTTGATCTCCAATAAACCACCAGAAAACCAGAAGTGGTGCTGTGGCTCAAGTGGTAGTGTGCTCGCCTTGAGCTGAAGAGCGCAGGGATAGCGCCCAAGCCCAGAGATCAAGCCCCATACCGACCAAAAAAAAAAAAAAGGAGATAAGATTTACAGTTTTACTTCCTATATGAGGAGTAAGATGTTTCTCTTTTTCCTTCCCTTTCTATTTCTCTTTAACCCTGCTATATTAAATCCTTGCTAAAATTAAAAAGGATTTCCCCCCAAATTAATTGTTATGTCTGTGGATAAATATTATTTTTATTGTACTAAGATATTAAGTTTTGAACCTATTTTCTTTCCATTTTTAAAAACCAGTGCAGAGGAAACATTTTTGTTAAAATCATATCATTAACATTTTTTTTTTTTTTTTGGTCCGGTCGTGGGGCCTGAGCTCTGGGCCTGGGCGCTGTCCCTCAGCTCTTCAGCTCAAGGCTAGCACTCTACCACTTGAGCCACAGCACCATTTCCGGCTTTTTTCTTCTTGTTTATGTGGTGCTGAGGAATGGAACCCAGGGCCTCATGCATGCAAGGCAAGCGCTCTACCACTGAACCACCTTCCCAGCCCTCATTAACATTTTTATTCAAAAATATCATTTAATAATTCAATGTAAACCCTCAATTTTATTGAAAGCAAAGAATCAGCATCAAATTTATAACAATGTTACCTAAACTCACGACTTTGCTCCATCTTCAAACTTCCAGCACAGAGACATTCAGTTGGCTTCACATTTGTTTAGGGATTCCCCGTGGCAGGGAGAAACAGGATAAGAATTGACCAAAAGCCAAGCTGCTCTAGTTGCTATCTACTAGCTATCAAACCTAGAACTGTGGAGCATTTTCTAGAATCTGCAGGACAGTACTGGGAGGCCAAATCCAGCTATCCCAGCCAGGAGAACATGGGCGCCTTCTGGGGCCTGTTTTTCTTTGAGGGCCTGGCAGAGCAGCTAATCCTGGTGACAAGTGGCCTTGAGACTCGGAGGATGGATGTGGGAGGAGGGATTTTCCGGGCCGCTGGGCTTAGGGCGGCAATAAATCCTCCAACAAGGCAGATCTTGCTGCTGTTGTTTTGGCTTTTTTGTTATTTTGAGACAGTCTTGCTGGGCTACAGCCTGGGCTAGGTTGGGACTCGCTATCAAGGTAGAATATATTTTTTTAATTCTACTCAGCAGCTTGGAGAGGCCGATCAAAAGTAGCAGTAGCCAAAGGATGAAAGTACAGGTCACCCAGACACTTGACTCAGAAGAGAGACTTGGCCTAGAACTTGGCGGCCAGCTGCCCGCCACGCTCGTCACTCAGCCACCCACGCCCCCATTCACCCGCACTGCGCCGTTATGTCTGATTGACATCTTAGCTAGCCAATGACCTTTCAGACTTCGAAAGCACCTGCCTCCAAGAGTTAGGCGGGACGAGTAGGTGGAATGACAAACATGTAGACCAATAATGAAGAGATTTGGGTTGCTATGGCCTCATTAACCAATGAGGGAAAGGAATAATTTCCAAAGGACGTATCAAGCAGCCAACGGCCGGCGTTGCTGCAGGGGTCTCGTGGCTTCCGTTCCAGGAGGGCGGGGCGGCATTCCAAACGGAAGGTGGTTGTTGTCGGTGCCCAAGCTGGTTTGAAACTGGGGGTCGGGCTCCGAGGACGTCGTTTGTTGCTGAGGCTCCACTTGTGGGCTAGGCCGTTCTTGCCCGCCCCCCGACTCCTCCTCCCTGCGGACTCCTTGGTCCTAGGCCCGGCTCCCCGCCTGATTCGCGCCCAGCCTGCTGCAGCTCTCGCCAGCTCTGCGGCCCAGCTGCCACCATGTCTCTGCACGGCAAACGGAAGGAGATTTACAAGTATGAAGCGCCCTGGACCGTCTACGCCATGAACTGGAGCGTGCGGCCCGACAAACGCTTTCGCCTGGCGCTGGGCAGCTTCGTGGAGGAGTACAACAACAAGGTGGGCCGCACGGGGGCTCCGAACGGAGCTGGCCGGGAGCGAGTCCCGGGGAACATCCGGAACCCTCCGTCTCTCTATGTGGCTCCATTCGCTGCCTCCTTTAGTCCTGACAGCGTTTCTGTGTTGTGGGGAAACCGAGGCACGGAGTTGTGATTTGCCTGAGGCAGACAGGTATTTCGTAGTGGTAACGGGTCCCAAAGCTTAGGCCGTCTGTCTTGCCTGTTCCCCTTCCCTCCCTTCTCCAAGTCTTATCGCAGTGCTTTGGGGTGGGGGTGGATGCTGTGAAGGAAAATTCAGGTTCTCTACGATTTGTGAGAGGGTTAGTGATCGTGCACTCTTGGTCATTAAGAGGTTAGTGCTGTTTATTGTACGGGTTTCGTTGTCCACTCCTCCCCACCACTCCCCACCCCCACGTAAGGCGGGGGATACTAAGCCCTGCTCCCAGGATTGGTCATTGCTGTTGCTCTCTGACGTCCATCCTCTCCAAAGCAATTTGTTCGTGGAGATCTTGGTCGATGGCACGATCCTGTCATTGTTTCTAAATAGAGAAAGATGACTTTGGGCCTAATCTTTTCTTGGTTGCCTTCATGTGGATTTACAACTTTGAAGAGCAAATCTTGCTGGGTATATTATCAACTTGAGAATCTTTCATCTAAGCACTGGTAGAAAGGGGAAAGCCTTTTAGCTGGTAGTGTGGATTAAATGTAGTTTTGAAAGTTGTTGGGAAGAATTTTCTTTCATTTCTCTCTTTCATTTCTTTCATTTCTCTCTCTTTCATTTCCTCTCTTAGAGGAAAAGTTGTGAGTGATTGTGATCAGAGCAATTAAAAGCTTTGGCTAATAGTATTTAAAACCAGTACTCCTGCTTGCTACCTGAGCAGCAGATTTAAGAAGAAATCTGTAGATGGTGACAAGTGTGGTCCTGAGATTAAAAAACAAAACAGGTGGATCTAAGGTGGGCTCTGGTTTTGGTCCATGACTAACTGTGAGATATTGGATGGGCCAGTTAACCTGTATCTGACTCATAGTTTGCTATAGGAAAGGGGTTTTGTTTTACATACGAAGTTCCAATAAAAAAAAACACTTGAGAGGCGGGGAAGGTGGCTTATTGGTAGAGTGCTCGCCTTGCATGCATGAGGCCCTGGGTTCCACTCTTCAGTACCACATACACTGAAAAAGCCAGAAGTGGCGCCGTGGCTCAAGTGATAGAGCGCTAACCTTGAGCAAAAATAGCTCAGGGACAGTGCCCAGGACTTGAGTTCAAGCCCCTGGACTGGCAGGAAAAAGACCAAA